CCTTGGCTTTTTTTGGGGGGGTGGACCCCACCAAGGCAGTGTCATGAATTTTTCAAGCTGATCGACCATAGTATATATTTCTAGCTCCCTGATCTGACACCTGAGTGATGAAACCTTGTACAATCAGTTTTTCAACATTGACATTGGAAATAGAAGTGCACTCATGCAAGTTTTACTTTGATAAACTGTACTGTATAAGTTAGTAGAGATTGTCAAGAAAAAAGAAAGAAAAAAAAAAGATAATCCCTACCTACTGACCCTAATGTTTCAGGACTGAAACAAGAAACACAACATTATTTTTCTTAGGCCTAGGTATGTAGTAAATATATATATGGGGCAATTGTATGACATCATCCACTATCGACCCACAGTCCCCTGCCCTTGGTAGCTAACCTTTGAACAACGTGCTGGAATTAATCCTCTCTCTGTTAGGAGAGAGGTGTGGAACCCAGGCCGTTATCAGATGTGTTATCACATGCTCCAGACCTTACTGGCAGATGAGGTGGTGTATTGTGTCTAATGCCTGCCCAGAGGCAAGGTGAGATAGGTTCAGGTGTATTATAGCTGGGGCTGTGGAGGACTGTTTCTCACTGACTTTGTAGAAAGACCACACACACACGTTCCTCCTGCTTACAGATGTGTAGTACTGTCAGGGCTCAAAATTCAATTTTGGGAATAGGTACATTACAAGTTTATGCACCCAACATAAAAAAATTGGGTGCACAAAAAATATTTTAGGTGCACTGTATAAGATAAAATAAGTAAAATGTCAGCAAAAACTAATATAATTCAAGAAAAGCATTAAACAATTATCATTATAACAATCATTATAACAATGATTATGTCATTTTTATGACACTTAGATGCTGTAACTGCAATACATTTAACATCTTTACATATGTTAAACCTAAGAAAATAGTTGGGTGCACTGGTGCACCCATAGAACAAAAACTGGGTGCACAGCTCCAAATTTAAGGTGCACATGCACCCAGTATTTCGAGCCCTGACTGTGAATGCAGAAACTTTCGCGGTGGTTTTTATTTTGCGGGCACCTCTCCACAGCGAAAACGAGCTATCACCGTGACATCACAGCCACCCAGCGGAGTGGCAGGCAAAAATTCTAAGTGATTTTCCTACCGACAATTTGCACATGCCTTCAAATAATTTACACCTACATGATGTAAACAAAAACAGTCATTGCTCATTTCGTATCACTACCAGTATTGTACTACAAAATTGTTTCTATGTAGAAAATCTAACAACATCGCAAATACCTGAATTTTGCCTCCGAAAGACAATTATAACCTTGCATGAATGAAATGTATTTACAGTATCCTTCTCATGTTAGGCCACAGCAAGTAATTTTTATGGATGACATCAACGCGCACATCAATTTTCGCCTGATTTTGAACAAGAAATTTTGTTGCCTTTTGACAGTGGTCAACATGCCGAAAATGGGCAACGATGTCTGTTGTCATGCCGGAAGGTGGATGGCAGATAACTATGAAGAAAGGAGATAAAAAAAGGCTCTGATTTAATGTTTTGTTCCTTACTTTGATGCAGTGATATGTGATGCTGGCTGTATATGTTCTCACTGAATCAAAACCATTTGAACAATGATTGAGTCAAAATTTTGAATTGTAGGAACCTTGCTTTTTTTGGCTCGCCTTGTTTTTTTTTGCCCGCTAGCATTAGATTTGGAGTCTACGGAGGATGTCATCCATAAAATTTACTTGCTGTGGCCTTAGTTGTGTCTGACAGGCTGGCTGTCTACTGCACAGTGAAGGGAAGGGTTCCAAATGTGTGTCTGTTGCACAGATGAGACATAGCGTAACTCTCTCTGGGGTAATATATCACATGGTGTCCCAGCAGTCACTATGGTAATGACTTGGGAGTAGGGTTCGGGTACCGGTTCAGCCAGACCGGTTTAAACTGGGACAACATTTGGGAACAGAGTCAAAAAAACAAACAAAAAAACACAAAAAGTAAGAAGTCAATTATGACTTCTTATTTCAGTATGGTACCATACTTTTAAAATTCGCATTTTGACTAATTCAATGCCCAATTTTATTGATAAATTTGAATGTTTACCAAAAATTGCATACCTACTGTACATCATAACTCACTATGTATTTTGCACCATGCGTCACTGTACATGTATAGATTTATCAGGACTTTAAATAATGTAAACTGTATCTTTGTTATATATTTTGTCTGAATCCCTCATGACCTCAATAAAAAGCGGCCTGCAGGTCGGTTTGAGCTTCTCTCATGAATATAAAAAGGTTCAAACATGCTTGCAAAGTCCGAACTTTAAAGGCATCCAATGCGATTTCAGGGCAGCAAAACTGGAAATATTCTGAATAAGGCAATCTTTATGATATTGACACATACTGCTTCACATTAGCACATCTGAATCAGTATTTCATACTTCGGGCATACATTTAAAACTGCAGAAACAAGCCCCAAAATGAGTACCCTAAAAATCAGCCCAGGGCCATTTTCTGTCAGAAATTTGAGAATTTTTACTCCATGAGGGTCAATATACATTGGGATAGTGTGGTTTCAAGTCAGTATGTAGATAAATGGCTAAAATATTGGCCTTGAAAAATCGGGTTTCCAAGCCGTAAAAACTGCACTGGATGGCCTACTTATATGAGGAAATGGAGTACCCTTTTCCAATAGAGATTAGGATCTTTAATTACAGGTTGAGCCTAACTGGAGGATTATAGGCACACAAGCAGCACATAATTCATGCGCTGTCACATTTTTCATCCATGGATATGACAGATATGTTAGTGGAGAGTCTATTCTTCTCGTTTTTCATTGGTGGCATCTCTGATGCAGACTTTTGGAGTACAGTCAGTCAAAATTGAAATCTATTGATGCTACAATCTAAATCACCTCCAGAGATAAGAGCAAATGATTTTACTGAGTGATAATTCTATTAACACAATCATTTTATGTTTAGAGTTAAAACTTTAGATCCAATACAAAAATTCTCTCGCCTAGAGCTTTCGACCAGTCACCCTGGTCTTCCTCAGTATGGTCGGATCTAAAGTTTTATACTCTAAACATGTAACTACCAACACAGATGAACTTTCATGATAGTACTATCATTTTATAGTATATACTGGTGATCTCAGGGCAGACGTAAGGTGTGGTTTTGGGAAGGGGAAGTGAGAAAAACATTAAACATTAGAAAGGTGTGTATGAAAAGAGATTTATGAAAAAAAGCCTCAAAAACATGAGACATAGAGACAGACCTCAAGATTATGTATACTCTCACAAATTTCATTTTGATCTTATACTATGTTATAGTCGTCTATCACATTTATAAAAACACTACCTGTATTATAAATATATTTTTAGTGCCTAATCTACATGCATATATGTAACCTATGACATTCTGGATATTCTGTATTTTTCGAATTCAAAGATCATGAAAAAAAAAAGAAACATTGCTTGTTGTAGAGTACTAAGTATTCATCAGCTGCAAGTGGTAACTTCTGGCCAACCCAAAACACTGTCTCGTAGAGTTCAAGGTAACCCAAACATGTGAAGCCCTACATAGTGACAGACACCAAAAGATTGTCCTGAATTGTGGAACATAAGACAATTCTGATTTATGTGATACTAGTATTCCTTTATATGCTCCAAGGTTCTTACGTGTCTGGTCAAGGCTCTCTTGGGGCGTTATCAAAATCTTCAAAGGCTATGAGAGGAAATGAAAAACTATCAGGGTGGTATCTAGGCTTGGTGTCAATGACCAGTCAAAACATCCTCAGTATTGACCATGGATGACTGGGAAGCAAGTCTGAAGATCTCATTTTCGGGCCAGTGTCTTGTATGGGGGCCAAGCTTTCCGTAGAGCTTAGACGGACTGCTCTAATTCAACGTAGAGCGTAGACAGACTGCTCTAAAGTCTAATTCAACGTAGAGCGCAATTGGCACATTTTGCGTAGAGCGTAACTCGCCGTTTTGATTCTACGTATTGCGTTGTAGCTACCTGGAATTTATCACAAAACTTCCTGAATTTACTGTAATACGTAGCCGACTCTCAAAATTTAGCATTGAGCGTTGTCGGGACCCCCCCATGCAGGCCCTCTTGTATGTGTCCACTGGTCCTGAAGCCAAGTGGAAAGGAGCAGTACTAGTACTAGTAGTATTGTGCCTCTAAATTTCACGCTCAGCTTACACCAATGCTAAATTTAGAGCCATGCGTGAGTGTGGAGGGTACTTGGTGGGTCCCCAGGTCTTAGGTAGACAAAAAGGAATGCACAAGTCATGTGGAACCCATTGTTGGTGTAGGTAGAAGCTGTATTCTTGTTGGGAGGGGGCTTGACCCCCTCTGTGGCTAGTTGGTGATTTCTACTAGTGGGTGGAGATACCCATATAACATTACACAGGCTGGGTTTACACAGACAATACCTGCATCAAGCCCACATTTTCTTCAAACATTCCCACCCTGACTTGTCGTTTCTCAACTCGCTTCTTGGAAGTTGAGGTTTAGCACTAGTTTAGCACAGGAAATACCACTGACCTACTTTGTGACACAATGCCAAGATCGCACACCAACAAGTCTTAGTGTGAGGTGGGGGTTCTTAATATTTGCCAGAGATGTCAAGACAAACATCCACCTTACTACTTAGGGTATGAGTCAGCACCATCAAGTCATCTCAGTTTTCAAAGCCTGGGCAGTCCCATCTGGAAATCAGTCAGAGCCCATTCATTTGTCCCCACACATATTCATAAATCTTGATCAAGGGGGGCGCGCCAACAAAAGACCCCACAACACAGCTCTATCGTTCTGATGAACTGGGCTCTGGGACAAATGAATGGATCCCCTGTAGGCAGCCCTTTTCTGTGTGTTTTTATTCACATGTATAAGGCATGGGAAGGGGAATAGAGAGATCGTAAAGTGGCTGTAGTTTCACTGCTACACACGCGAGCAAAAGAATTGTGAAGAAAAAGTTGGACGTTTTGTCCTAGCGACATACCTTGACGGGTGAACCTCGACTCGTAGCCGGGGTCTTCTGTGCTTGTGCCGCCGCCCCTGCGTCCCCCGTAGCCCCCTTCCCTCCCTGGCCACCGTGCGAGCTCTTCGGCGACCTCTCCTGCGAGGCCGTGGCAGTTCTTCTCCTCTCCTTGATTCCATCGAGAAGTCTGACCAGGAGTATGTTTGACGGTAACTCGTCAACACTGCAAGTTACTAGGATGCGACACTCGGGGCACCTCAGTTCGTTCTTGGACCGGACGATCTGCTCGAGACATCGTTTACAGAACGTGTGCTGGCACGGGAGCACTTTACTGTTGGTGGTGAGCCTTCCCAGACACACAGAGCACTCCAAGAGGTCCTCTAAAACTTTCTCGTCCATCATTCCGACCCTTGAAGACGCGGAATCATCCCATTTTTACCCCCAAACTGTGCGGGCTTACCTCTCTCGCGATTACTACAACACACTACACAAGCGAACGTAGCACCCTTGGTCTCGCAGTCGGCCCTTCTCGAGGCCCGTGACCGACCGGGATCACGGCCAGGCTTGCGGTGACTCTTTCTCCTGATGTGGAAAGTAACTTCCGTGAACGACAATGCGATTAATAAGGCGCCTGGAGTCGTAAAGCGGTGCAAAGTTCACCAGAAGGCAGTAAATACGGCCTTACGTCCCACACACTGCCGCCATCTTTACTCAATTATTTCGGGCAGGGAAAGGCCCCGCACCCTACCGTCTACCAGTGGATGACATCATTGTCCAAACACGTTGGATGTTAACAAACGGAACAAAGTCTAGAAAGCACCAAAATATGCCACAGAGAACCAAGAATTGAGCTAAGAGTAATATATTTTCTCTTTAACATTACTTACATTGGTCGTTGCGTGAAGAAATTGTTAAATGAACAAAGAATACTACTGATCAGGTGCAGGGTTGTCGCTAGAGGGCCTTGGAAAGTAGGAAATGGACACAATGTTTGTGAAATCTACAACCACCCGCCATACTAACCTCACACGATTCGCGGAAAACAGCTCTAACAAGCTTCCACCGAGCGGAAATTCTGGAGTTTATGATCTCGCGTTTGAATTTCCGTCAAAAGAAACTGATAAAGAAGTATTTTATCAACAATGCGGATGAGCACACAGCATTATTGAGTGATTCGGTCGTAGATGGCTAATAATCCAAATTTTCAAAAGTTGCCATACTTTTTACTTCATAATCACTATGTTTACAGCTCTGGTTTACCGTCGCCGATTAAAATTTTATTGAACACAAAAAAGTTTTTGATGGTTTTCTACGTCATAGGTGTGCCGTTTTACCTTTCTCGCTGTTAACTCTGTGACTGTAACCAAAGTCCTTGCTGTAACTCGAGGTTTGGGTTTTGGGGTGTTTTTAGCGTGTTTTTAGGCTTTTTTATCGGGGTTTCTCTTTTGCATTGAATTTATTTCCCACCAAAAATAAAAAGCAAAACCCAAACCTCTGCTTGGAGAGTAACTCGATGTACTTTTTAATACAGGTGTCTGGTGCGTATGATAAGCCAGCAGGTAATATTACCGATGGTCGTTGCGTTGAACTTTAACGACTCTCTCAATCAGAAGGTACCGTTATATCCGAAAAAAAGTTGGGGCCTATTAGTACTACGTGACGTCCTGGCCGATCTTTTAGTGGCTGTAACGTAAGACAGTATCAAGTTTTTTTGTTTTTTTTTTATTCCAACATGTAATCACCAGACGTAGTGACGACACACTCAAGTTTTTTCAACTTATATTAATGCCGCCACCAACACAGGGGACAAATACATGACAGGACAATACTCATTTACACCTGAGCTAAGTGAAGAAAGCCGTGTAAAGTGCCTTTCCCAAGGGCACAAGATCGGTGGCATGTCAGGACTCGAACCCGGGACTCTAAGTTCCGAGTCGCGCACTCTGCCGCTACGCCACACGACCCCACAAAGTATCAAGTATCAAGTTTGCAAGGCAGTATACATTTACCACCAGAAGTTTAGCTGACGGGAAAAAAAACTTTAAGTACAAAATGGAGACCGATAAAACGCACCTAAAACACGTCAAAATATGCCGAAGCCTAAACCTCTGCTTGGAGATCTCTCTGGATATCATGATTAGATTTTCGGGCCCCCTGGCGACTTGTTATGGTACTGCAGCGGAACTTCCTGTTCTGATATATATCATGATCTGGACATGCTGCGGTCATGAGTTTTGGGCCCGCAGACATTCAATGTAAATATGCCCACGTGTTCGGGTATAGCCGAACGACTGAAGTCTGGACAACACATGCACCTCTGCTCTTTTTGTAGTGTCGTTTGTAACATTAGTATCTTTCACAGGCGGTGTCGAATGTTCCCTTATAGTATTAAAGGCCACAGCAAGTAATTTTCATGCATGGCATCGACACACGCATTAATTTTCGCCTGATTTTGAAAAAATATATATATTTTGTTACCCTCTGACAATGGACTGGTCAACATGCCGAAAATGGGCTAAGATGTCTCGCAATGCCGGAACGTGGATGACAGAAAAATGTGAAGAGAGAAGACAAGAGAAGGCTTTGATCAAGGATATTATACATCTGTATAATGTCCTTGCTCTGATTTATTGTTTTGTCTTTTACTTTTACTTTGTTGTAGTATTGCATTTCGCTAGCTCTTATATATGTGATGTTGCCACTGAATTAAAAAAAAATCTTGTTTAACAAGGTTTATGATCTCAAAATTTGATAATGTAGGAATCTTGTTTTTGTTTTTTGGCCCGCCTTGTTTTTGTTTTTTTTCGCCCCGTCGCATCAGGTTTGGTGTCTGCGGAGAATGTCATCCATAAAATTAACTTGCTGTGGCCTAAGTTATATACGAGGCTCTGCTACAGAAAACCGATCCCATGGTTGTTTGCCTTCCCTAAAAGGACCGATCTGAAATGTGGGATACAGTAGCAAAACCTCATTTTTTTTATTTCTGGGGTTCAAGTTCAAGGTTTTTGACACCCAACGATGTCAATCGTCGGTTACGATCGAAGGTTAATGTTCTAACTCCTATCATAGGTGCAAGAATTTGGCCCGGACGTCAACCTTCAAAATGCGTCTCTTCCTTTTGGGCAGTGCAGGGGCTACTTTAGCCACCAGAGGACGTTTATTTCTACGTTGCAAAAACATTTCGCTGATTGTTGCTTTCGCTCCGGCCTAGGCTGGGGGATCGAGCATGGCTAGTTTCACTCTTGCTCTCCCCTGTAACTTGTAAGCATGCGTTGGGGCCTGGGGGTCAAAGTCATGTTGTCCGTGCACGTGTGTACTTATTTGGCTGAAGTACCTTCACACATCACTAGAGGACGTTTTAACAAAGTCCAGTGACTGCTGTTGTCCTCCTGACAGAAACCTCTGGCCTAGATGTATCGACCAAGCACAGAAGTTTTGGCGAAATGATCATCTTATAAAAACTCTACCTGTATTCCAAATTTCTTTATTACCTCCATGAAATGTGTCATGGAGGTTATATTTTCAGTTGCGTTTATCTGTCCGTCTGTCTGTTGGTCAACAAGATAACTCAAGAACGCCTGGATGGATTGGTTTCATACTTGGTGTGTTGGTAGGGTGTGACGAAAATTAGAAATGATTAGATTTTGGTCCCCCTAGTGCCTTCCCTTGGTACTTGAGCGCAAATTCCGGTTTTGATATCTCGCGATCTGGACATGCTAGGGTCATGATTGCTAGGGTCAATTTTGACGGAAGGTAGCTCTCGTGCTTGGGAAGAAGTCATATGAGTTTGGGCCCCCTAGCGGCTTGTTCTGGAACTGCAGGGCACTTTCTGGCGAAATGTTTAAAAGCCAATAAGTCCAGACAGGAACAACATATTTTCATTATTTTTGGTGTGTAGGTAGCTGAGAGAGAGATGTACATAATTAAATGCAAATTATGCAAATGAGGACTTTATTTGCATAATTAATGAGGAAATTCTATAATTACAGTGTTTTACATTATACTACTTACATACATGTAATGTAATGTAACCTATGGCAGGCGGAACTTCAACAGATACTAATTATGCAAATGATGACCTAACTTGCATAATTAATGCGAAAATTCTATGATATCGTAATGGTGAATGATGAGAATGTCATACTTGGGACATCTGTAAGTTAATCAAAAGTTAACATACATCACGATGCATATATCATGTTAATGCAGGTCATTTGCACAATTAAAGAAGAAATTTACATTTACATATCAAGATCATATTTCATGGAGGTATGAGATCTCGGAATTCTAGTTTCTATTTAAAACATCCTAACAGAAATAAAGTTATGATTCAAATCAGGATGTTTTAACATTTGCTCATATTCGTCACGTCTGCAACCAGACAAGACAAAAGATATAGACAAATGCACATCGTTACAAAACAGAACATTTATTTGAAACAAACAAAAACAGCTTGAACAAACACATGTCAACATACTGCGTAAACAAAGCTTGAAAAGGCACCTACCTCGTACAAATGTACCTCAAGATTAAATATTAGGCTCTATAACAAGTATCCTTTAGATCTATTGCTACAAAATGTAAATGAAATACAGTAGATTATCAGTAACAACACTAGTCTTTCTCCATCTACTTACAACTACATGCATTAATTCCATCACCTATGGATACCATTAGTAAGAAACAACAAGTACACTAAATAAAATTGCTTCTAAAATATCTAGATCAAAAGAATAGAAACATGCCAATCTGGGAAGGTAAGCCGTCTACAAAATAACTGTTTTGCTCTTTGACAAAAAGAACTTTAAATATACAAACTCTGGTTATTCAAAGGTTGATATAGTAATTATACAGTACTTTGCATCTTCTATATGAGTTAAGTTGTTAATGTTATGCTGTGGAGTGCTACAGAACAGATGTGCCACATGCAGTCCAATGTTTTCAAGGAACAAAACATTCTAAACTAAAGCTAAGATACTAAAGCAAACTTGACATACAGTTTTTGACACACAACAAGAGCGTAATTACTACCTGGGTTATACTGAAACGACTTGATTCCTTTTTCACAATACAGAGAGTTAACAGGATCTTAAGTACATTTCCACATTATGTCCTCAACTCTTTCTTTATTTCTTTTTTTCCTGTATGGGTTTACATACTCCACCCTCTTAAGGTCATTAAGTGGTAGAAGAAGCCTTCTCTGAGGTATCCTAATTTGAGGTATCCTAAAATAACCCACACTATACTTTGCATGTCTCTTTTCAATGACAGTTTGCTGCACTCCTCACAGTCACACTGTTAGAGTTTCTTCCCTGTCTGACTTTGCAAGCTGGGTTTCATGTAACTCACAACTTAATCCTGAAAACTTCAATGCAATGAGGTTTTATACTCCCACGGCGGTCGGTTGCTAGGCTAAAAGTCGCATTACTAGGGAGGTATCGGGTTACAGAACGTGTTCGAACGTGGCCGCGCGGGAGTCCCGGGCCGGCCCGGGGGCAACGGGTAAAATTTGAAAATAAACAAAAGTAATTGGAGAGTAAATACTCGTCAAAATAAAATGTAATAAGTGATTTTGTTTACCTCAAATGTTATTCTTGCACTGCCTTTGCTCCACTTTGTGTACATTTGCTTCCAAATGAGATCAATTTCGGATTTCAAAAAGGGTTCACGAGAACCAAACAACTGATTTTAAGAGGCCCCGAAAATTAAAAATAAGGTTAAATTTTTGGATTTTTAGAAATATTACAGTAAATTTAAACTTTCTGTCTTAGGATTTTTTATTTTTTAACTAAAACTCGACTTACAGTCAAAAGAAGAGCTAAAAACGCAGTGTTTTAACTTTAAATACCGATAATTCATAATCGCGGCCATATTTAAAAAATCCCTAAGACAGAAATCTGCGGAAATCGTTCCTCTTCCAAACAAGCCCTCAATGAGGTAATTTGAGCGATTTTTGGGAATGGTTAAAATACCATGTTTGCACGCATGCTGTGCCACTTGGATATGGGGACCTGGATTTTATAACAGCGTCAACATGAATTCTGACCTTCAAGGTCACCCACGATGACGGCAGTAGCTTCGTTACATGTTACATATCCACAATAAAATCACGGCATAGATGTAATGTTTTGAAAACGGTTCATATTTGTGGAAAGGTGGATTTTTCCTGTTCCGTGGTTCCCAAGTAAAAAGGGCTTGAAGTAGCCGGTTGTAGCGGCTTTACTGTAAATGACCGCGGGTAACCCCAGATCGAACGCCCACTCTATTCGAATGACGTCATATCGAACAAGATTCGCGGGTTCGGGGGATTCGATCTCCATAGTAGCGGAGTGGGACTTTTGGGCCCAAATCTGACCATCGTGTCCTCAGTCACACCTACAGGGGTTCTCACAAATGAGTTCGCATGTGTTTCTTCAGATTACGCCGATCACTGAACTGCCTGCTGCACTCCTCACACGTGTAGGGTTTCTCTCCCGTGTGAGTCCGCATGTGTTTTTTCAAGTCATGCAGCCGACTAAACTGCTTGCTGCACTCCTCACACTTGTAGGGCTTCTCCCCTGTATGACTTTTCATGTGAGACTTCAGATTACACTGCACACTAAACTGCCTGCTGCACTCCTCACACGTGTAGGGTTTCTCTCCCGGTGAGTTCGCATGTGTCTTTTCAAGTCATCCAGCCGACTAAACTGCTTGCTGCACTCCTCACACCTGTAGGGTTTCTCCCCTGTGTGAGTCAGCATGTGGTTTTTCAGATGACCAAGCTCTCTGAACTGCTTGCTGCATTCCTCACACTTGTAGGGTTTCTCCCCTGTGTGAGTCAGCATGTGTTTTTTCAGATGACCAAGCTCTCTGAACTGCTTGCTGCACTCCTCACACTTGTAGCGTTTCTCTCCAGTGTGAGTATGCATGTGCCTTTTTAGATTTCCCATCTCACCGAACTGCATGCTGCACTCCTCACACTTGTAGCGTTTCTCTCCAGTGTGAGTATGCATGTGCCTTTTTAGATTTCCCATCTCACCGAACTGCATGCTGCACTCCTCACACCTGTAGGGTTTCTCTCCTGTGTGAGTCCGCATGTGTCTCTTCAGAGCACATAGATAACGAAACTCCCTGCTGCACTCCTCACACCTGTAGGCTTTGGTGGCAGCCACCCTGTTGGCAAATTCCGCTTTCGATGCTTTGTTGGCACCTCCACTCTTTGTTGCCATCGTAACAAAACTGAATTTGCCTCCTCACTATGACTATGAGACTTCAGACTATTTCCCTCTACGCACTTCTGTAATATGGAATCCTGTTTTTCCTTATTTCAGCACTATTGGACTACAGAATCCTGTTTTTTTCCTTTCAGCACTACTGGACTATGGAATAAAGTTTTCCCTTTCAGCACTACTGGACTGTGGAATCCTGTTTTTTTTTCTTTCAGCAAGACTGGACTGTGGAATCCTGTTTTTCCTTTCAGCACTACTGGATTATGCAGTCCTGTTTTCCCTTTCAGCAATACTGGACTGAGGAATCCTGTTTTCCTTGCAGCACTACTGGACTGTGAAATCCTGTTTTTCCTTTCAGCACTACTGGACCGTGGAATCCTGTTTTCCCTTTCAGCAGGGTAGGCAGAACTTCCATTCAATCCTGTGTAATAAAACAGAAAACAAAAGATTAGAAAACCTGTGTTTGATGAATATCCCCTCAATCAGTTAGTGAATAACCCCCGAATCCCTCTCATTCAATAACGACCCACATACGAGAGTTTATGAATCTCCCCCGACTAGGAAAATTTCTTCCATGATAGAAACCAGATGTTTGGGCGGGAAGATCGTTACAAGAGGCACATTTGGGGGTTTCCAAAACCAACTCAACACAACGTCAGAATTTAACCACAAAATTTCCGTTAGTCTGCGAAATCAACCGTCGATTTATTTGAAAGAAATAAATCGTGTACTATCCGTACAATACACTTGCATTTCTGTTGTCGTCTGTAAGTTCCCAATATTTACGAGGTGGCGTAACCCCCTACAGACCCTCGCCTGGGTGTCAACGTTTTCTAAGACAAAAGCGAGATGCAAATTGTCTTTTACAACGGTACAACAAAACAAAACAATCCTTTACAATTTTCTTACGAGTGTTGTTGCCAGATACAATCTAAACTAAAGTTGCTGCTGGCAGAAACTTTGTAATAATTGCTTTCAAACAAGAAACCGTTACTTGACGTAATTTTACTTCTCACAAGCGGCAGATCAGAGAACGTAAAAACAAACTTGTACGAGTTGTTCTTCAGTCACATCGATAACTGTTGCTTAGACAAGCTCTTAGTACGTACCTGATTCGTATATAGGACGCGATCCCGATGAACTGAACCGAAAAAGGCTCTTCATAAGATCACGAGAAACCCTCGATACTTTCTTCCACACCACGACACGCCTGGTACACGGGGGTACGGGGTTAGCGGAATGTGCTCCGCCGAGGTGGGACTCATAATGAGGCTAAGCACAGGCGGGTTTCGTGTTTCATGTTTCTCCGCGGAGTTCAGGTTCTAGTGACAGTTTGTGAACTTTTTCTAGAGATTTCTCTCGAGAAGATTGTAGAGCTAGGGAGATAAGCTCTTGTACTGTACATTTCACAGATTTCTTATTTTGTACGACCGTTTATTTACCTTCCCAAATAACTTTTTTTTATAGTTTTGGGGAGCGCGCGTGTGTGAACAGGATTACTTTAGAATACCAGCGGATGGTAGCCTCCACCTGGCCTTCGGAGTTCCCACAAATCGTTACTCTCCAAGCAGATTTTTGTCGTTACCCCCACCACCCGTCGGTGGCTGGCGACCTTCTCTGGCTAATGGATTCTGTCTTGATGATGATGATGATGACTGGTTTATTTGCAACACGTGCTCAGACATACCGTTGCAGCCTTATCTGGCTGAATTAGGGCATGATACAAATCTTATGTAATACTTAGAATCCATCACATGTCTATGCCCTTACAGACAAGGTACTATTACTAATTCATCAAAATCAATTCTACAAATATAGGTTAAAAGACAAGGTGCCTACTGGTTAACATTCATAAAATAGCTTTACAGTAAAAGAGACCTATTGATTAAAACCCATTCTACTTTACTATACTAGGCTAAGAGGCGAGGTACTCAGGTTTTACCTCTCTCCTACAGAGCGCCTCCCCCGGTGTCTTCAACCGGCTAATGTGTAAGTATTTTCGGATTATGTGCAATTCTGTCTTGCCACCACCGAAAGGGATCTGCTTGGAGATTACAGATCGTAGCATTTGGCAAAAAGAAGAGTAAAATTGGCCAGGCAAGTCAGTTTGCGGCGAAATGTTGATTCTTTCCCCCCGAAGGACAGTCAACCCCCAAGGCGGGCAAACTCGACTCGATCAAGCCTTAGAAATCTGATCCCATTTTGTATTTTCTTAGTACCATGCAGGTATGGCGAAAACAAGTAAATATGCATGTCGTCGAGCTCTGCATTATGATTATGCTATTTATCATAATCATAAATATCACCAATATCCAGCTTCAGACAAATAACTCCACCATTTACGTAAGACCAGTCTTGGGTTGTTTGTCACACGGCATTGCGGATCAGCCACCGAAGGAGGCAGACACACCCTACAAGCACTACAAGTACAACGACCGTTGTCTGAGGTATTTCACAAGCGTTCTTGTCAAAATAGTCCCAACTACATGTAAACCTAGTCTGACCACCTGAAAGGCATGTTTCTTCCAGTGGGTAGGGTAAAATTTCTTGGGTAGACAGTCCAAAATCAGGGCGTCTGGACTACGCCCACAGGCATAGTTAATTCTCATAACCCAAGCAGATGTTAAAATGGAAGATATATATGTGCAGTTTTCGAAATGGTACTAAATAGCTGTTAGAAAATGTCGACCATCAGATAATATTTGCTTTTTGGAAGATCTGCTTTGAGATTAGGTTAGATCTATTAGAGCCAATAGGTCCCGGGTTCGATACACCATGGCCCGACGTTGTGCCCTTCGGAAAGGCACTTAACACGACTTCCCCACCATGTACGGTGGTATGATGCCCACCGAGCCTCTATCTTAGGCTAATTGTTTAACAGGGTGCCAAAAACACCCTACGGATTTGGTGCACCAATGTGTCAACATCAGCACATTTGCGACCAAGAGCCGTTAATTTTTTTTAAGATCTAACAAGGGTAATTATATAACATGCGTGCTGTGCCACGATAGTTCTATTTGATGATGTGGCACTTTTAATAAAGAAAAAAATCCGTTGGAACCATCATAAAGTTGATAACCCTGCTATTAGCGACAGTCTGTTAAAAATATCCGTCACAATGCTTTAGCCAATGATCCTATAAAAACAGAACTTATTTGTTTACACTTAATTTTTCTATATACTAAGTAACTGCATTATTCAGAAGTGAACTTGTTGCTACGAAACACAGACCTATAATAACTATTTTTTTTAGAAAAGGGCAGCTGCAATATTTAAGGGCTAGAAGTACATATTTTTCTACCCTTTTTGCTTATTCCCTTGTCTGGTAGATCGATACAATCAGGGTCATAAGAGGGAATACACAATAATAATATTCAAGCAGCAAGACTCAGACAATTAACAGCTTCATATTTATAAGGCATCTGATATTCTTTTCGACCATTCATGCAAACTCCTGTTTTGTTAATAATCTTGTTTTTAAAACAAACCGTATTGCAATGGTCAGCGTATTTTAATTCCAAGTTGTGCGTATTTTAATCCTGTAGGCCATTTCTTTTTATAAAAGTGATGTAATGGAAAATGACTACTGCAAGACCGATTCTTTATTATGAATAAACGAAATAATGCTAATTTAGGACTGGTTGTTACACACTTTTAACATGTATTAGACACATTTTCCAGTTCGAGTTGGTATTTAAGTGACTCTGAGATATTAAACGCAATCATAACCAGTAGCAAAGATTTTAAGATGTCATGACCTTGGTGGTCTTTTATTTCTTTTATTTTAATTGTCACAGCCGCCCGACACGCATGAGTGATCGGACTTAACTATTTCAGCCAGAGGGGGTGTTTGTTTCTAGACTGAGTGTCAGCCTTGTTAGGTTTCGTCCGCTACCCAAGATCCGGCGGAGAGCGGATCTTGGGTAGCGAACGAAAGCTAACAAGGCTGACACTCAGGCTAGCTTGTTTCTACTATTGGGCCTGAGAATTATTAAACGCATTTCATTTCTAACAGATAAAGATCCACAGCAAGCCTATTTCTTACTTTATTTCCTTGTCACAACCGCTGCTTGTCTTTTCAAGTTACTATTTAGACTTGGCCTTTTCAACTCTTCTGTTTTGGGAGTTACAACTCTTTACATCGAACACCAAGAAATTCTCTCACCTAGAGCTGTTGACCAGTCACTTTGGACTTTCTCAGTAGACTGACCCTGTGACACTTGTCACGTGGCTTCTTTGAAGTGTGACGTCAACACTGGGTCAAAGGTATCTGGAAGACGATGTTGGCACGCGGTTTAATGTAGGGTGATGGGCCCTGATGTCTTTTTATTCAAGATCCAGGACAGATATGGATAAAGGTATTGCTTGGTCTTACAAAGGAACTTTCCCATTCTGTTTAGGTGGCAGGACACCATGGGAAGAAAGCTGCGACACGTGCTGATTTTCCTTCTCATCATCCTGAAGGAGCCCAACATGCCAGAAGCTGACTGCGACTGTGTACATGGAGGTGCTCATACGTGCCCCAGCGTCAGTTTAAAAAGCCAGGGCATTAAGAGTATTCCTATTCCTCCGAACCTCCAAGCCAAAACTTATAAGTTGGATTTAGAAAGCAACCTTATAACAACTTTACAGCAGTCTGAGCTGTCACAGTATAAGCATTTGTGTATGTTGAACCTGAACAAAAACCAGATAACAGTGATTCGTTCTGGGACGTTTGTAAATATACCCAAGCTAGAAGTGTTAAAGCTGAATATGAACAACATAACAATGATTCAGCCTGGTGCATTTGCAATTGTGCCCCGCCTTAATAAGTTGGAACTGTACAGTAACAAGATAAAAAAGATTATACCTGGCACATTTGCAAATCTACCCTGGCTGGGAACTTTGGACCTGACCTATAACCAGATCACAAAAATTCAGCCTGGGATGTTTGAAAACCTACATAACCTTGAATATTTACATCTTGACAGCAACCAGATAACAATCATTCAGGCTGGTTCACTTGCAAATCTACCCCAGCTAAAAATCAACGGGCTGAGGAACAACAAAATAAGGGAGATTCAGCCTGGTGCATTTTGTAACCTACCTCGGCTAAAATCTCTTTTCATGCAGAACAACCAGATGACAACGATTAAGGCTGGTACATTTGCAAACCTGCCCCAGCTACAAGAGGTGTTCCTGGAGAACAATAAGATAACTACCATCTATTCCGGTGCATTTGCAAATCTGCCCCTATTCCAGTATTTGCAACTTAAGAAGAACAACATGTCGGCTATTCCATTGCCAGCTCTTGACTTGTTCCTATCTGTTATTATCATTGAGCTTGACGGGAACCCCTGGCAGTGTGACTGTAGGATGGGTCCCGTCAGGCTCAATCCCGCATTTAAAGACCAGATAATATGTGCCCAACCCGCCAAACTTCAGGGACAGAAGCTTAGAGATGTCAATCCCGAAAAATTGGTTTGTGAAGAGCCAACCATATCAACATTGGCTCCCGATATCCAAGTAACCTCTACAACCTCTTACGAGCACTGGTATATCGAATCTAATGCTTACTCAACAACAAGCCCTGCAAGCAAAACAACAGCGACACACACTTCAACCCCAACCCTTGCAATCACTTCAACCAAACCAAAATCTGCTCCTAGTTCCACCCTAGCTGTTCTCATTGGCTCAGTCTGTGGTCCACTAGCTGGCATTGTCCTGATTGTCGCCATTGTTGTAACAGTGTGGTACAAGAGGAGGACCAGGCAGCCTCCTTTAGGCCCAAATTCCAATGTTCTTTGTGGTAACGCAAACACCACAGCTACTGTATTGACGAGTGACGATGATAACAAGTATGAAGATATTGACAATCATCATGTTGAAAATGAGCAGGGTCAGTCTCAGGACGACATTGAATCCAACACAACTACCACAGCTACTGTAATGACCAGTAGTCAGACAGGGCAGGGTCAGTCTCAGACCAACACTGAATCCAACATAAACACCACAGCTACTGTAATGACCAGTAGTCATAATCAGATAGGGCAGGGTCAGTCTCAGACCGACATTGAATCCAACACGAACACCACAGCTACTGTAATGACCAGGGGTGATGATAACCAGTATGAAGATATTGACAATCATCATGTTGAAAATGAGCAGGGTCAGTCTCAGGCCGACATAGAATCCAACACAAACACCACAGCTACTGTAATGACCAGCAGTCATGATAAGACAGGGCAGGGTCAGTCTCAGACCAACACAGAATCCAATACAAACACCACAGCTAAAGTAATTGGTCAGACAGGGCAGGGTCATTCGCAGGCTAGCTTACCATCTTTAGAAGTTGGAAATGTTACTGAATCCAATACGAACACCACAGCTACTGTAATGGCTAGTGGTGGTGGTCACCAGTATGAGTATATTGACAATCCTCATGTTGAGAAAAGGCAGGGTCAGTCTCATACCAACACTGATTCCAACACAAACACCACAGCTACTGTAATGACCAGTGGCCGTGGTCAGACAGGGCAGGGCCAGTCTCAGACCAACACTGAATCCAACACAAACACCACAGCTACTGTAATGACCAGTGACCATGGCCAGACAGGGCAGGGCCAGTCTCAGGCTAGCCTACTACCTCTTGAAGTTGGAAATGTTACACATGACCATGCCCAAGCTACCCCAAAGCTACCTGCAACTATGGGAACAAAAACTACGGGCCCTAGAGCATATACAAAATTGGCCAGTAGTCATGATCAGTCAGGGCAGGGTCAGTCTCAGGCTATCACTGAATCCAGCACGAACACCACAGCTACTGCAATAGTCAGTGGTGATGATTATCAATATGAAGATATTGACAATCATCATGTTAAGGCAGGACAGGGCTATTCTAAGGAAATCAGAAAATCCAGCACAAATACAGCTGCTGCTGTAATGACCAGTGGCCATGATCAGACAGGGCAAAGTCATTCTCAGGCTAACACTGAAGCATTTGATGCTAAAAATCTATGTTATGACACAGGACCGACTGGCTCTCAGCTAAATGCTCTATACAAAGCTGTGACAGATTCACAGACCATCACAACTATAGCTACTGTAGTTGATGATCAGACTAGGGAGGGCTTTTCTCATACCATCACTGAATCCAGCACAAACACTGCAGCTACTGTAATGACCAGTGGTAATGTTCAAACAGGGAAGGGTCAGTCTCACGCCAACACTGAATCCCCAGATGCTAGAAATTCATTTTATGGCACAGAGCCGACTGACTCACAGATAAATTCTCTGTATAAACAGCAACTGTAATGGTAGAATAAGCCGTCATGTACATATAAGTGCTTAATAAGTGGTTGGTTGGTTGGTTGGTTGGTTGGTTGGTTGGTTGTGCAGACTTGCAGAAAACTTGTTGTTGTGGGAGTGGGCCAAGAGGTCACCAGACAATACTTTGAAGAATCACTTTAATTCTATCCTTGTTAAAGAGAAACGTAAAGTTAATATGTAGGTAAAGTTTCAATACTAATTCGTAAAAGTTGATGATTGAGGGCTTAACATTTTGGGTACGATAACTAAAACTAACAGTTCTGTGTGAGAGCCCCTCATGGCTTTTTTCATGAGAATTGTACACATGTTCAGATGTTAAAGATGTAACAATCCACCGTGTGTAGTAACAGTAACTGTTATGGTACTTAAGCAAAGATTAGAACAAAAAGTGAGTGTTTTGCAATTTTGTGCTAAGTTTGAAAATCTAGTAATAAAAAATTGCACACTTTTCATGCACTACTGCAGAAACTTACTTAAAGAAATATATACAAATTATCAAGTATCTGCTACCTTTTGAAATAGTCGTGATCGCAGCGAAAGTTTGCAAATGTTGCCTTTATACATTTTGTACTTTTTTCTTACAACTTTTACACATTGTCAGTCAGAGTACAATTAGCTGTTGATGTTTCAAACAATGACTGCGTTAACCATACATTTAGAATATGCATACAAATATGAATGTGTATTGCATGTATTTAAATGAGTACTTTATTCATTGACATAACGTATACTTAATAAGGAAAAAAAAAACTGCACTAACCCCACCCTTTAGTTTCTGCTTTATGGGTGGTTTTAAATGTAACAAATCTCACAGTATTAAAAACATGCACTGCCAACACCCTTTGGTTTCAGTTTTTTTTAGTGGCTATTTCACAAATTGCAGCTTTCACTGTTGTTCTATGTTTTATAATGAGCCAGTTTCCACGCTATTTTCTGCTAAGACTAAGTCAATGATCACATGACAGTAACTAGTATAAAAGTGTCCAAACAGACAATATTTATTAGCAAAAATCGTAATAAAACAACTTTTTATGCCAGCTTCTGGCAGATTGCTCCTTTTTATAACAGCTGGTCAGGCACAATCAGATATTAATAATTAACTCTTTCTTGGAAAAATACTTTTTGCCACCCACGCATTACGTATTTTATGAAAAATGAATACTCATACTGGCAAGAGTAATGAATATATTACCGGTTAGTTATTTGATATTCGCTCCCGTTGTTTTCTGCTGTGTTGGACTGTACCATTAAAGCCTGCAGGGGTGCTGCTATATGCAAGTTTAGACTCTTGAAAAACTCTGGCGTAAAACTAAAAGTAAGTCACAAGGTAGATTTTCAAATATTCGAACATGTGTAATAGGAACTTGGGCTCTCGCATACATGTAGTGCAGCAACCCTACTGTAGATATAGGCCACCACATCTACAGCAGCGAGGTCTATAGCAGCGAGCATCAGTAATATACTATAATGAAAGTTCATCTGTGTCGGTAGTTAACGTTACATGTTTAAAGTTAAAACTTTTGTTCCAACACAAAAAATTCTCTCACCTAGAGCTGTCGACCAGTCACTCTGGTCTTCCTCAATAGACTGACCCGGTGAAGCTTGTCACGTGGCTTCTTTGAAGTGTGACGTCAACACTGGTTCAAAGGTTTCTGGTAGACGATGTCGGCCCCCGTCGCGGTTCAATGAAGGGTGATGGGCCCTGATGTATGTGGCTTCCTTCACCCCTCTCAAGAAATAGTAATATATTCATTACCCTTGCCTAGTATGACTATTTACATATGTATTATGAGTGGGCGGGCGATTGGGTGGGTGATAAAGTCTAATTTAAAAGTAAATTATACAGTTTCTTTGAACTACCGCTAAACTATCGGGAACTATAATCAAATATTGATAAACTTAAAAATATTAGATGATTTAGTAATAATACAACCTTCATATCAGCCTCTGACACATTTCGTCTATTACATAGCTGGCCAGGCTTGATCAAATATTAATAATTATTTTTTTCAGATTATCATGGAAGTTGGAATCTGTGTTGGTAGTAACCATAGTAAAACGTTAAACTTTACTCCAACACACAGTCACGTATCAGTAAAGTCACGTGTTTGTAAACCGTAACTCTCGCGAGATCACGTTGTGAAGTGATTGGTCATTAATTATCCTGATGAAGGTGACAGTGGTCGCTGAAAATTTGATCTCTCTGCAAACTGTGTTTTGGAATAAAGTTTAACGTTTTACAATTAATTTTTTCTTTCAAAAAGACTGATTATCCCCCTCCAATATTACCTTATCTGACACTATACAATCATTGACACTGCTCATATTTTTGTATTTTCTTACTACCATGCAGATATGACGAAAATATGACGTAAATATGCATCTCGCGACCTTTATCACGATTAGAATTTTCATGATGATCCTAAATGTTAATGTTGTTCAAAAAATCAGCTTCAGACAATCAACACCACTATGTACGTAAAGCTTAGATGTACGTAAAGCTTAGATCTTGGGTTGTTTGTCACACATACCCTGACAAACCCTAGCGGACCCGTTCGGGGGGAGTTTGGCTAGCCTGGTAGTCTTACGTGATTGGGGGTATTGGGGTGTTCAGGCAGGTTGTGCCTTCGGGGGCTCTAATAGCTTCCCCCGCCCAGTGCAACAGGCCGTCCCGGTAGGAGTGTTACGCTAATAAGAGACAGTATGCTTGGGGATTTGGTTTCCCCCAACACGATGTTCGTGGAGGGCTAATCAATCTCTCGTGAAATACACAACGGGAAACCTATGTGAGACGGGCGGTACAGAGCTCTATCGGCCCCGACCACGAATCAGACTGTATACCAGGCTAGAGTTTGGCTGGCCCTATAACGTGTTCTAGGGCCGGCCAAACTGCCCCTGGGCTCAACTCGTAGCGACAATTTAGATAGGCAGGCGAAGGGCTTTTGGCTGCCGAAGGAAAACAGCTAACGGCCCGATACTAGTCTGGTACCCAGGGTATTTGTCAAACGGCATTGCTGATCAGCTACATGTACCGAAGAAGGCTGACACACCATAGAAGAACACCAGCAACCTACGCAAGAGTACCTTCCCAGAAAGTGGCAACTGAAGCTATTCTGGCCCACTTGAAAGGTATGTTTCTGCCTGTGGATTAACATTTAAAGTACACATTGTCGTGTAGAGCAGACTTTTAAGTCCTCCCTGGGAATGCCCAATATTTTTAACTTTACATACGATGCACTGATCCGCAAAACCTCCGCAGCAGGCTTATACCTTATAGAACTGGGGATGGTGGTCTTCGGCTGTTGTCTGATTTCGGCCCAGTTAAAACAAGTGCTTCTGCAAAAGCTGACCATTTTCGCCGCTTACAGGCTTACAGTTTTTACGAACATTTTCCCCATCCTATCATTTCAATTTACCTAAGTTATATGAATGGTTCTAGTTCTCATCAACATTGTATATAATGAGAGAACATGCACTTCTATATTTCAACTCTTTAAAGAGGCACTTGGAGGACCCAGGGTCCTCCACCAATAAAGAAACTATCCCCTGTGAGGATCTAGTAGCTAAATTGACCCTGCACATCCTCCCAACATCATAAATGGATTATAAGCCACGGGGTGTCTGAACCCGACTGCCAGTGGAAACAATGGGAGCAGACGACAGACAGTGATTTGCATATTAACTGACGTTTGAAGTTTTGAAAAATGTTGTATTTTATCTTCACTAGTTTTTCAACAAAACATTGCCATACAAGGAATGACACAGACAGTTGCAGCAAACCTAAACACAATCCATGTAACATTTACTTGGAGGTCGTTATACACGATAAGGGCCTACAGTTTCCAATTTGAACAATTCCAGCAGAGATGAGCCTCTGTCAATCTTCCATGTTTGTTTCAAAAACTTATATCTGTAATCACAAATTGCACATCTTATCCACAGCCAAACTAGATTTGTATTGATATGATAGTTGTATGTTAGAAAATATACAATGTAGAAACATGTAGAAACACATTTGGCGGCTTCTTGCATTATATATTAGAATCCAAGTCTGAAATGCTGAATAGATGAAGTCCCAGTTTACCAGGATTGGCATAGTACATGCCTGTGTAGTTGTTAGTCTATATTCTTGTTGTTTAGTAAAATATTACATGTACTTTTCATGTACATATCCATGTCTCAACATAATGTTGAAGAGGTGTACTTGGTATACTATCTCAGCCTAGCTCTCCCCATGTGTTCACCACGGCTGCCAGTTGCAGAATGAGCTGTGAGAGTTTACAGTACCCGAATTTATTGGGTGGTTTTATAGTCCAACCTTCCTCTTTAAGTTTAAAACATTACAAAAATCAAGTATATAACAGTTTATAACCTGTTTTCTCTCTTTTAAGAGTCTTTTTAACAGAATAAAAAAATGAGACACAAAAGTACATTTTAACTTAAATTATAAGTAACGTTAATATATACATTGTATATATATAATTTTATTCAAAATCTCTTCTATGGCTTTGTCCCCAACATCTAAGTTTACAAACCTCGTGACATTCAACCAGGGCTTTAGCCAGCGCCCGTTTTACCGTCAATTGACGGTATTTTTTCCCGTCGGACGGTAAAAATTTAAGTCCTTACCGTCAACATTGACGGTCAAAAATCGTGGGTGAAGACATTAAACTTAGCAAAAAATGTAGCGAATTTGAATGAGCCACGGCGCGGGGTCTTTCCAAAGCGCGTCGCGTCTTTTCAAAACGCCGCGGGCCCACACATTTCTTATTTAATACGGCGGGAAACCTGACTTCAAGGAACGTGCCGATGTCTGTTAACTCGGTTCTTTTCTTCAATGTTGCTGTCTGTTTAAACAACATGTGCTAACGGCCACATAAGAACAATGGCTCGACTCAGACTCACGCTGGTAACTGTACATGACAATAAGATATATAAACAACATGTGGCAACGAACAAAGAAATATCAAACGTTTTGAAAATATACTGTACTTGAATTTTCATACCATCGCAAGAAAACGGAGATCGATCTACGCAAAGTGGCTTTATTATTTATATAAGCTTCGTTAAACCACCTTCGAAGACTTGAGCGGCAGCATAAAGATAAATTTTCTGGAGCCGATCGCTGAAGCAGTTTTTGCCGGCGTACGTAACTCCCTCCGCGGCAAAATCCCATATGCCGTAGCGAAATCGCGTCTCAGCACTTCCCCAAATCAACTCCATGGCCGCTAAAGTCTGCAAATGAGGTTAAACTTCCTCATTTCGGTTGAGAAGCGAAGCTACTAGTATAAAATCATGTGCATGGCGGCCATTTTGTTT